ATTCATTACCAAATAGATTGCAACAGCCTCCCAGCTGTTCTGCTGTTGATGTGCTTATTACCGTGTTACTCTCCACTCAGGATTCTTCAGTTTTTTTCTTTAGTTATAGTAGTGGCTTTCAAATGTTTTTATTTTCTTTTGAAAATAGTAGAATCATTGAAAAAAACCCATGAAACCATAGCATGAAAATCAGATGAGGGCAGAACTTCCCTGGTAGAAGGATGCAAGAGCTGAGCTTATTTGGATCCTGTCTACTTTTCTCTGAGACAGTTTTTAATTGGATTCTATTTCGTTGTCTCATACACCTGTCAAACTTATGTGCATCCTTCAAGATGAGTGGAAAAATCCTAACCTGACTCCTCAAGGATTTTATTGTATTACTTAACTCACCATTTACAATACACTTAAAAGTCTTTCTCTCCTGTCAAAGACTATGACTTATTTATTTACTTTCATCTTTCATTTCTAAATGTAGTGACAACTCATTAAATGATGAAAAATCAATTTAAGTATCTGATTCTGTTTCCTAATGTATTATGTTCACTAACATAACAGAACTGACTGGTGGACTGGACAGTTTTTGATTTTGATCTTTTATAAATTTGCCAAAAGGCTTTGAGCAGATGAAGTTACAGAAGAGCACCGATGTAAAGAAGACAGGTACAATTGTTAACTGTTTCTACATGGTAATGTCTGCTGGCTTGTTAACTTTTTCACTTGAAGGATGAGGCAAAGCTCTCAAGTCCTACAGCTATTGAAACTCTATTAGTCCATTTTCACACTGCTTTAAAGATACGACATGAGACTGGGTAATTTATAAACGAAGAGGTTTAATTGACTTAACAGTTCCGCATGACTGGGGAGACCTCAGGAAACTTACAATCATGGCGTAAGGTGAAGGGGAAGCAAGCTTGGACCTTCTCATATGGTGGCAGGAGAGAGAAGAGTGAGGAGTGAAGAGGGAAGAGCCCCTTATAAAACCATCAGATCTTGTGAGAACTCACTATCATGAGAGCAGCATGGAGGAAACTGCCTCCATGATCCTGTCACCTCCCATCAGGTCTCTCACTAAATGCATGGGGATTATGGGGATTACAATTTAAGATGAGATTTGGGTGGGGACACAAAGCCTAACCATATCAGAAACAGTGAGAAATACATTCTAAAATTTGAACTTTGTTAATGATTAAGCGTAAAATACACTCTCAATTTTCCCTTACCCCCTACATATCAACACAATTACCTTGAACATCTTCTTTGAGGACGATTACCTTGGACAGGGACAGCTGAGGCACTTGGAGGCCACAGAAGCAATCACCTACTTAACATGCACTAGTCAGTCTTTGTGAAATATCACCCCTGATGCTGGGTGCTTATCTTTTATGGAACAGCTTGCAAATCTTAATTGTTTTAAACTGGCTCAGAGGCAAAGAGATTTGGGAATCAATAAATTACAACTCTCATACATACAAATGTGCATCATTATAATGAAGACAATCTGATGGCTCTTTAGGTCAAATAACAAAAGAGGTGGACTTGAGTTTGTAAAGGCTCATTGTCAATCCTCTTATTACAAGGGTTGAATGCAGTTTTACTCTCTTTAGTCGCAGTATTCAAGTTTGCATATGGGCATTTGTTTTAGATGGATAGATCCTCAGTGGGAGTGAATTGATGAGGATTCGTTATTTGCTCTGGTGGCTGTAGTTTTTCTTTATAAGGTTCATTAAGACAGAAGCAACAATATTTATGCCTTTAAATACTGATTTGTTGGGAGCAGCTAAATAAGCTATTCTAAGAATTGTAATATCAGACCCAGAGCTTGCTCTAAGATTCCAGACTTTCTCCCAAGGTCAGCCGTCTTAGTCTTCTCTAGAGATTTGGAAAAAGCTCACGTCTGAAAAGTAGACAGCACAAATGTTGTTGCTTTCTTATTAATAAGAAATTTTGTTGCACCAGCAGCTGGTAGTAATCTGCAGAAGAGTGTTTACTGTTTTTTCTCCAGTTGAAAGAAATACCTTTCTCAGCTTTAACCAGAATTTAGGTATTTCTGTTTCTTTAAATTGTTATTCAAGAGTTTGGTCATTCTTCAAATTTAGCAGTTCTTCCTTTTCTTTCATCAGTGTGTGATGCTGAAATTTCTTATGATAATGAGGGTAAATTTCTTATCTAATTGAACTTTTTTCTTTTAAATCTTTAAAGGCAATGATGAAGATTTTCCTTGAGCATACATAAATGTTTTTTTCTACTAGTCTTAATAATTCTTCTTTGGGCTTCAAATTATAATAGTGATTAAATATAACTTGTGGACCATTTTTAATTTGTTTTCCAAAGTAGAATTTGATTGCACAGGTGATGTTGCTACACATTTGGATATTTTTATATCCTCCAATTTTTACATTCATTCTAGTATTTTAGAATGTTTCTTTAAGTGAGTCATCTTTGAATCTAGTGACTGCACTTCAGTAAAACTACAAAGAGAAAATAATATAAATTGAAAGAAATTTTCTTTTAATTCGTAAACTCGTGATAAATGTTTCCTTTGGTCAGTGAATGCTCTTCAGTATGAAATAGTAGAGATTGGCCCTGTGATCGGCTCATTTCTTCAGCTCATCAGTTGGTGAGAACTAGTGGCATGGCCCTACCTAGGTAGATGCCAGGGGACTAGGAAATAAGGTCAAGAAGTTGCCAGGGAGGAAAAGGACACAGTTACCAAGAAAATGGAAGTTCTGAATATAGAGCTTTTATTTAATTAAATTTTCTGGGTTGACAGCCTGTTAATCTGCTGTCAGCCTATTAATCTGCTATCTCTGTAGAGATCTTTAAATTTGTTTAATTTGTTTTTGTTTCTTTTAAGCACACATTATAGTTTTCTCTCTGATTATACATTAATGCAAATCACTGTAGAAAATTCATGAAATGTAGGTTTTTTTTTTTTTTTGAGATGGAATCTCGCTCTGTCGCCCATGCTGGAGTGCAGCAGCGCAATCTCGGCTCACTGCAACCTCTGCCTCCTGGGTTCAAGTGATTCTTCTGTCTCAGCCTTCTGAGTAGCTGGGATGACAGCTGCATGCCTCCATGCCTGGCTAATTTTTGTATTTTAGTAGAAATGGAGTTTCACTGTGTTGTCCAGGCTGGTCTCGAACTCGTGAGCAGGCAATCCGCCTGCCTTGGCCTCCCAAAGTGCTAAGATTACAGGCACGAGCTACTGTGCCCGGCCGGAATGTTTTTGAAAAAACAAATCAGCTATAAACTCTGGATAGTAAATCTATTTTTGTTCCGTTTCTCCCTACTCCCCCTTTATCTCTGCCCTTCCCCACACCTCTAAATTTATATATTGGTTGTCCTAGCTTATTTTTTGTTGTTTATAAGAGAATACCTGAAACTGGGTAATTTATAAAGAAAAGGGCTTTATTTCTTTCAGTTACGGAGGCTGAGAAGTCCAAAGTTGAGGGGCTGCATCTGGTGAGAACCTTCTTACTGGTGAGGACTGTCTGCAGAGGCCTGAGGCAGCATAGGGTATCATCTGGTGAGGGGGCCAAGCGTACTTATTTGGTCTCTCTTCTTAAAAAACCACCAGTGCCCACTAATCCATTACTCCGTGTATAGATTAATCCATTCATAAGGGAGGAGCCTTCATGACCCAATCACCTTTTGAAGGTCTTACCTCTCAATACTGCCTCATTGGGGATTAGATTTCAATGTGAATTTTGGAGGGGACATTCAAACCATAGAACTGGTCATTTATATACACATACAGATAACATATAACATTTATTATGAAATTGGAATTCATGCCTTTATCCCGTGCTTTGTCATTAAATGTTCTTCAGAAACAAATTTTTTAATGTCTGTTCATTGTATAGATATACCTTAGTTTAACCATTCTTGTATTTTGAAATTTGAGAATTTGAGTTGTTTTTATTTTGCCTCTATTACAGTAAATATTTTTTGTATATAAATTTCTATATGTATTCTAAATGATTTTATTAGGAGAAATTTTTGGAAGTGTAATTACCAGGGCAAAGGTATAAGCTCTTCTTGATACTTATTACCTGCTGACATCCAGGCAAGTTATTCAAATTTGCATGTTCCCATTAGGAAAGTGTAGAAGTGCTCCTTCCCCTACAACCTCGCTAACCATAGACATTACCATTTAACAGAAAACAATTACATAGTCTAGAAAAGCATCTTATTGTTTAAATTATATTTCTTAGATTATTAGGTTAAATGTCTTTTCATGGCCCTGAATATTTGTTTCCTTATGTGACCACTCTCCATATGTTTTTATTGACATGAAATGAAATAATAGGTAAACTTTAATTGAGGAAAATATTTTCAGAGGCCTGGTCAGTTTTCATTATTGCCAGTGATATTACTATTTACCATTCTTTTATAAAATTAGTTTTTAATTATAGTGTAAAATAATACGTTGTTAATGACAAAAGAAGAGTGTATAATTGACGCTTATTGCTTTGTACTTTTCTTTTTGAGTCAGTTATATTAAGGGGCTCTCAGGATTTTCTTGGCCTCTCATGTATTCTGCTGTAGGTTCTGATTATGTGGTGTGAGCCTCTTGCCAACTTCAGCGGCCACTCCATTCTCATCTGCTTCTCCCTCCATCAGTCCTGTGTCTGGGGTGTAGTGGTGTTGGCTGATGATAGATTGGTGACTCTTGGTAAGGATGGACTTCTACCACTATAGCTGCCTTCTGTGTTGTGGCATGAAGGGTTAGTTAGGTGCTCTGTTAGCTAGCTGTGGGAATCATGTTTGACCTTGTGTTGTCAGTAATAGTGGAAGAAAATGCCAGATTTTTATCAACAATGAAAATAATCTAACTTCTATTTTTTATTATAATGAAATTTTAAAATTTTACTTAGTTTAACATTTATGAAGCGTATGTAATTAAAGCCCTTAGATAGTTGCTGAATGTTTCATATGCTTAAAAAAAGCCATGCCAATTTCTCAGATATATCTCATCTTAAATCTTGATGTCTCTGCAGGAGTTCCATCAGATGCAGGAGTTTGAACATCTTTTATTGCTTACAGTAACTTAACTTTATAGCTGAAGACTTTGTGTGTGTGCTAGTGAAACTCATGCCGGAACGTGTGATTCTGTCTTAGTAAAAGTATGTAATCCTAGTGGGGGTAAGTGAGAGATCATTTTTTTTTTCTTGTATTATATGACGATTGGAGATAATTTATGTTTATGTTGTTCTTAATTTTATTTTATACCAGTCAGATTTTCTGCTTTAGAGTTAAATTCAGATGCCCCCATATCTTTACTTGTTAATATTTATCAATTCAGTGCAGTGTGTTTTTTATAAAAAAAGACTTTGAGGTACCCATGCCTGTGGGAATAGTATAAAAACAGCCTGGAGAGTTATACATGAAATCATGCTGGTGATTATCCCTGGGAAAATGGGACAGGAGTAGTACTGGGTGAAGGAGGGGTGGCTGGAAGGTACTAAGACTTTATTTACAGTGTTCTAAATATTTTACTAAAAACTCTCAAAGGTACATCTGTCAGAATGATAATATTTATTAGTTCTTGGTGGTAGATACATGCATATTTACTTTATTAGTCTGTACTGTTTTATATCTTAAATATTATCCCCAAATTTCAGTTATAATTATTTTTAGTCATCTTGAAACTTAAATTGTCTACATAGTAGAAGTGTCTGACGTGCCATTTATATCTGGTGAAGTTGTCTTCAGATAACTGATTATTATTAAAATTTTGATAGTCTTAGAAATATCACGTCTCAAAAACAGTTATTTTGTTTCTTGTTCTCATTAACAACTGTTATAGTAAGCACATTGGCTTTTTCAATATTAACTTTTTATTCTGCCTGATTTCTTATCTTCAGTGATTTATTAACTTCAATCTAGTTTCCACAATTATGACTTGTTAAAATGAAAATTGTTATGCTTTAAGCTATAGAATTTTGATATGAAAGAGACAGATGCCAGACATAATTATTATTTTCTCTTATATAAGGGCTAAAAGGAATAAGGAAACAAAAATCCCTTTATCTGGGACCCATGGATTGATTTGTTTCAGGGCTTTATTAAATGTATTAATATAGATATGTCACTTAGTTTTTTTCCTGGTGCCTAGTTAAGATTTTTATATTATTACTTGATAGTTCCCTTTTTTCTTGATATTTTTATGCTAACATGAAATGAAAGGGAGTTGAGGAGACTATAGACACATGTAGGCTCTGACCTGCACCTGCAGTCTTTAGCACTTTTTGTTAATTGTTAAGATTGATAACTCTTCGGATAAACGGACAGCAGAGCACAGTGGGAAGAACATAGTATTGAGGACAGAGAAAGCCAGCTGAATCTTGGTTTTGCATTCTACTTATAATTACTGTAGGGAGTTGCATGTTATTTTATATCTTTTAGCAGTAGCATATCCTCTATAAATTGGGAGTTAATAGTATTCACTTTAATAAGTTGTTATGAGAATTAAATTGGGTTGCCTTATGTAAGCATCTGCACAGTAACTGGCAGAATAGCAAGTTCTTACAAAATGTTGATCTTTTCCTGCCTTCACTAATGGAAAACGCTTGATGGGAAGTACTGTAACTTAGAGTAAAAGATGTTAGGTTACGTGGCATAGATTTATGAGATGCATACAAGTCATTTCCTAAGTTTAAAAGGTGAACATTATATGTAAGATGTCTTTTCTTCTAAAGAAAATACTTTTTTCCTTTGGATTTAAGCATTGTGAGCCAGAAAAAGCAAAGCCAAACAGTTGCTTCAGTCTTAATTTCTTGTTCATGTTTCCTTATGGTGGGAGGGACTGACATCATGGGTACTATACCTTTGTACTTACATGTAAGAGAAGACAGGCAAGAACCAGAGAAGACAAATGCAGAAGGAAGTTAAGAGCTCTGGGCAGAGGAGAAGCATGGGTGTTCCGACAGGATGTTCTCTAACCCTGTCTTAGCTAGTGTGAAGAAGCTGGATATTTCGCTGATTCTTTTTTTTTGATACAGCAGTAACAGACTGTATTTCATTTTAAAAAACCTAAGCTTATGGCAAGGTTTCTTGCTTATTTGTTTAGTTATATTTCATCTAATATTTTAAAAACACAATTGCTTTCATTAAATGCTTTAGGACATGTACACGTTTAGCAAATTCTCTTTATTTTCTCCTTAAATGTATGATCAGTGTACTTCCAGATGCATTCAGAATAAAGATCCTGGAAGTCTAAGATACTCTATTATTCAAGAAATGTTTCCTCAGGAGACTGAGGCAGGAGAATTGCTTGAACCCGGGAGGCAGAGGTTGCAGTGAGCCACGATCGTGCCACTGCACTCCAGCTTGGGTGACAGAGTAAGATCCATCTGAAAAAACAAAACAAAAAAGAGAAATGTTTTATCACACTGTATTTAATCAGCCAGCAAAATGGCAATGTAGATTTTAGAAAGATTCTAGCAATTAATGTTAAAGTAACATTAACCCACCATTAAGTAGAAAATGAAATTATTGGGATACTCAATACACTTTCACTTTTTATCAGTTGAGTTTCTCTGATGCTTCTTTGTTCTGAACTTATTTAGTTTCTTCAACTTCTATTAAAAGGTTTCCTGAAACTTTTGAGGTTCCCTTGCATGAAATAATTTTTTTTAATGCATTAAATAGAAAACTGAGGTAAGGATGGAAGAAAAGCATGTTTAGAGAATTATCTACTGATGCCTATACTCAGGATGTCCGGCTTTCTATTTTGGTGGAGATGTTGAAGATGCCACCTTCTCACGTATCTGTTATTGTAGAATTTGGACCTGTATTACAGCATTTGTTTAATTCTACCGTATTTTAAATCAAGGTGCATGAGATTTGTCAGTGTACACTGAATGAGACCGTCTTGTGGTAGGTCTTGCTATGTTCTTATAGTAGAATGGACATTAGGCAAATATTAAGATACCTGCCGGTCCTAACTTTAGAGACTATCTGTGTTTTTCTCATCTACCTTACAGTGTTGTTGGTAGGATTAAGTGAGGTACTAATAATTTGGAAGCATTGCATGAATCCAGGGGATTATTATCACTGGACTTGTAAACATGACCAAAATCATATCTGAGGAATTGCTCCCTTAAAGCAGAGAAAACGAAGGAGGGAGAATTACATGGGGAAGTGACTTCTTGTGTTTTTAAGCTATGTATGTAGAAATTACAGTGTACAAAATAACTAATGGGTTGAACATAGACAAGAGATCAAAAGTAAACAGTTATATTAGTCTTTTATTTCTATGCTTTTTCCTGTTTCATTAACCTTGACCTATATTTATTTAAAAGGATTTGTGTACATCAATGGCAGAATCATCCAGCGAATCAGATCACTTTCGCTATCGTGACCGATTGAGTCCATGGGCTGCCAGATCAACTCACAGGGGAACTCGAAGTCTTCCTACAGTAGAAGTTACCGAGAAGGTCAACACTATAACAAGTACTTTACAGGTTAGTTTAACAATGGTTGCATTTAATAGTATTTAAATAGTTTGAGCTGCTTAATAGTTTCAGTCAGTGGATTAGTTTTCTTGCTGCTGTAACAAATTACTGCAAAGCTAATGTCTTAAAACAACACAAATTATTATCTTAAAGTTTTGTATGTCAGAAGTCAACACTGGTCTCATTGGGTCTCGGAGTGTTGGTTGGGATGTGTTCCTCTCTGGAGGCTCTAAGGGAAAAATCTATTGCTTTGCGTTCTCTGGTTTCTAGAGGCTGCTCACGTTTCTTGTCTTGTGGCTGCCTTCCCTCATCTTCAAAGCCAGCAGGGAAGGGTTGGAAGGGTCAAGCCCTTCTCACATCCTATGACTTTACTTCTCCTGCCTCCCTTTTCCTCTTTTACGGATGTTTTTGATTTCATTGGGTCCACCCAATAATCCAGGAGAACCTCTCCATCTAAAAGTCTTCAGTGTAATCACATTTGCAAAATCCCTTTTGCCGTGTAAGGTATACATACACAGGTTGCAGGGATTAGGACTTGGATATCTTTGAGGGCCATTATTCTGCCTATGACAGTTGGTAAAGATATTTGAAATATGTGATAGGTGATGGAGAGTGTTTTAGGATAAAGCAGTATTTCTAAATAAAATATTGTGAGAGTGAAACCAGTAGAAATGATGATAGTTTAGCTTCTCATGGGCATGTGCCTTTAGAGAAATTGCTCATTTTGGTGAGGCAGATTATTTGTGGATGAACATGAAGAAATTCCATTTTGATGTAGAGGCTAATTTTTGCCAGTATTTGGAGGTTTGAGTTAAGGCATTTTGCTTCTTTTTCCTAGAAAGGGCTTTAGAAAAGAGGTGGGGGAAGGGTAACATAGCTATATGGGAGAAAAGAAAACTCAGAATGTATTTCCTACTCATTAATCCCTTACCTTTGCCTTAGCCTGGCTAAGCATGGATTTTGGCTTTTAATTGCTTTGGTTAGTATGCTTAGATAAGAAGAAGATAATTTTTGGTGGTAAATGCTTTGATTTGAAAACCAGAAGACCTATCCTTTTCAAACTTATTTAAAGTAACATCATGGGCTGGGCTGGGCATGGTGGCTCATGCCTGTAATCCTAGCACTTTTGAAGGCTGAGGTAGGAAGATCGCTTGAGCCAGGAGTTTGAGACCAGCTTTGGCAACATACTTAGACTCTGTCTATACACAAATTAAGAAAAAAAAGTTTAGCTGGGCCTAGTGCTGTGTACCTGTAGTCCCAGCTAATCAGGAAGTTGAGGCAGTAGAATTCCTTGAGTCCAGGAAGCTGAGGCTGCAGTGAGCCATGATCATGCCACTTCGCTACAGCCTGGGTGGCTGAGCAAGACCCTTTCTGATCAATAAGTAAGTAAGTAAGTAAAGTAAGTAAAATGTAAGTAAAGTAAGATAACAATACAATTTTGCAGTATGAATTCTTGTACTTTCCCAACAATGAGACACATTAATAGGTATATATTTTTGAAAGAAATATCTTGATAATCTCCCAGGTAAAATCTAGCATATTTAGATGAGAACCATTTCTATTGTGATGAAAATTAAATTTGTTATTTTTCTTCTCATCAAGTTCTGAGGTAAAAGAATAGTTGAAATAACATTGATCTTAATGATTTTCTTCTCTCGCACACAGTCTACTAGATTTGCTGTTTCAGGATTCCTTTTCTATAAAGAGTGTGAATTGGTTGAGGGGCACAAATTGAAAATTGTGATTCTAAGAATTAATGGTTTGTTGCCAACTTACTAGGGAACCTTGAATAACGATTTACATTATGTGTTGCAGATATTACACAAGTAAATTGCAGTCGGATTTTGAGTTTCTCTCAGTGGTGTTAAGATTTATTTAATATGTATGAAGTACATTGATATTCAACTTAGCCATGATAAAATTTATACATTTTACAAACTGTTGACTTAGTTGATTGACGTACTACTAAGATCAATTAGGAAAAAAAGTATTTGGAATAATTAATTCAGTCAATTTTCTTTCTCAGGATACCAGTCGGAACCTGCGACAAGTGGACCAGATGCTTGGACGATACCGAGAATACAGTAATGGACAGGCGGGTGCGATAGAACATGTGAGAAACTACATATGTTTGGATTTTCTCCTACCCAATATTTTGGGAATGAAGTGTTTTGGGGAATGGGATGTGAACTAAAGGAAATAACCATTGTGAAACACTTTAGATTTTAAACTAATTTATTGTTTTATAGTTTAAATTTAGGTTAGCTTGTCAGATGGATTGCTAACTAGCTTATATAAATTAGATTCTATTGAATTTGAAGGCTTTACATCAGAGAGAGAGAGGAATTCAAGACATTAATTTAATGGAGACTTGGTAAACTTAGGCCATGGAGAAACCCCTCATGCAGAGTTAAGAATTTCAAGGATGGTTTATTTTAAAGTAATAAGTGTTCATTGTTAAAACAAAAAATGAAAAATTCCTCTCTCAAAGCCTCTTTTTAATTTTTTAAAATTTCAGTTGCTTTAGTGGAACAAATGGTTTTTTGGTTTCATGGATGAATTGTATAGTGATGAAGTCTGGGATTTTAGTGTACCTGTCAGCCACAGAGTGTGCATTGTACCCAATAGTTTTTCATCTTTTACCCTGCTCCCAGCCTTCTCCCTTCTGAGTCTTCAGTGTCCATTATACCACTCTATATCCCTTTGTGTACACATAGCTTAGCTCTCATTTGTAAGTGAGAACAAGTGGTATTTTGTTTTTCATTCCTTAGTTACTTCACTTAGGATAATGGCCTCCAATTCTATCCAGCCTCCCTTTGAGCCCCACTCAAAAAAGAGGTAACAATTTTGAGATCTTCATGTTTCCAAACATTTTCTATGTATTTACAAGCATATGTACGATTTGCTTTAAAAATGGAATCGTATTAAATATAATGTTATACAATGTCTTTGTAATCCTGTAGGATTGCTAGAAGTAGAATTGCAGGGTTAAAGGATATGTGCATTTAAAAATTTGCTGGATATTTCAAAATTGCCCTTTCAAGGATGTTCCAGTTTATACTTACTTTACATGCGGCTGTAAGAAAGAAATGTACTCCAGAGTTCTGGAATAAAGTTAATAATGTATTTTTAATTAATGTGTTGCTAATTCTATCTTCTACCTTTCTTTCCTTTGGAATTGCTTACTTCTATCCTGTAAACTCTTGGAAAACCAATTAAATTTATTCCTTCATGTTTCCAATGATGGGTATATATACAATGTAATGAAAACACTAAAATCACATTGTATGTGTAGCTATCATTGGAAACATGAAGGAATAATGATTGTTTTATACATACCTGTGTTGTATTGAATTGTCACGTAACTCCCAAGTTGCAATTGATGACTTGTTTTTTTTTTTTTTTTTTTTTTTTTTTTTTTTTACAAAGTAAAGGTATAGTCATCATTAATCACTTGTAATTGCAAGCTAATTGGGTGTAGGGAAACATATCTTCCCTCATAAGGGTTTCTACTATTTTTATTTAGAAAATGAGTTCGGACATCCTTGTATTTACAGCATTTTTATGATTTATGATGTACTTGACTAATGGAGCTCTATAGACTTTGTTATATTTGAGTAGCTCATGAAGTGTTTCAGATTCATTACCTTATTAATAATGGGAATTGAGTCTTTGCTTTTTAATTTATTAGTTAAAAATTGAAAACATTTTTGTTAACCATTAGCAGAGTATAGTCCTCCTTTGTAAAGTTGAGTATTAGATCCCTACTTAGGGTGTCAAATTTCCTTTGAATTGGGCAGTTGGGAAGTTAAATTATGTATACCCAATTTTAGGTATGATATATTCCATAGCAGTAAATATTGTAATGTTAAGAAAGCAATTTTCAGTGAGGGACCCATTGTCATCAAGTCTCTTTGGTAGGCCTAGAGTTGAATAATGCTGAACTTTCTGAGGGAATAGTTTTTTTTTTTTTTGAGATGGAGTCTCGCTCTGTCACCAGGTTGGAATGCAGTGGCCTGATCTCAGCTCACTGCAACCTCTGCCTCCCAGGTTTAAGCGATTCTCCTGCCTCAGCCTCCTGAGTAGCTGGGACTACAGGCGCATGCCACCATGCCCAGTTAATTTTTCTAGTTTTAGTAGAGATGGGGTTTCACCGTGTTGGTTGGGATGGTCTCGATCTCCTGACCTCGTGATCCGCCTGCTTCAGCGTCCCAAAGTGCTGGGATTACAGGCTTGAGCCACCGCGTCCTGCCCGGGAGTGGTTTTATAAATTGGAAGTAAATAAACTCAACAGATATTTCCATTTGAGTTGTAAATACATTTTTAGGGAATGACAAACTCTTTTAAATACCTTCTCCAGATTAAAGCATTCTATTTCATCATTCTGTTTATTTTTTACTTTTATTGTCATTGCCTTTAATTCTAATGATAAAAAGTGTCACTTACTGAACAACCAAATCTGCCTCAGGCACTGTTCTAATTGTTTTACATAGATTAATCACTTGTAATTGCAAGCTAATTGGGTGTAGGGAAACATATCTTCCCTCATAAGGGTTTCTACTATTTTTATTTAGAAAATGAGTTCGGACATCCTTGTATTTACAGCATTTTTATGATTTATGATGTACTTGACTAATGGAGCTCTATAGACTTTGTTATATTTGAGTAGCTCATGAAGTGTTTCAGATTCATTACCTTATTAATAATGGGAATTGAGTCTTTGCTTTTTAATTTATTAGTTAAAAATTGAAAACATTTTTGTTAACCATTAGCAGAGTATAGTCCTCCTTTGTAAAGTTGAGTATTAGATCCCTACTTAGGGTGTCAAATTTCCTTTGAATTGGGCAGTTGGGAAGTTAAATTATGTATACCCAATTTTAGGTATGATATATTCCATAGCAGTAAATATTGTAATGTTAAGAAAGCAATTTTCAGTGAGGGACCCATTGTCATCAAGTCTCTTTGGTAGGCCTAGAGTTGAATAATGCTGAACTTTCTGAGGGAATAGTTTTTTTTTTTTTTGAGATGGAGTCTCGCTCTGTCACCAGGTTGGAATGCAGTGGCCTGATCTCAGTCCTATCCAATATTTTGGGAATGAAGTGTTTTGGAAAAAACTATTCCCTCAGAAATTTCAGCATGTATTCAACCTCATAGGCCCTTATTGTTTTACCCAAAGAGACCTTGATGGACAATGGGTCCCTACTGAAATTGCTGTTCTTAACATTACAAGTATTGTTAGGCTAGACCTAGGATTGCATATGACTATGATGGATGAAGTACTGAAATTATTCCTGACCTAAGAAATTGGTGAATAGTTTTTTTTGTTTGAGAATGGAGTCGGATCGCTCTGTCACCAGAGTTGGATAAATTGACATGTTGTAC